GACGGAGGAGATGCCTGGAGGTTTCACACGTGGAATCGGATGACAACAAGCGGGGACAATGTCGAGCTTGGAACTGCCAAGTGGGGGGGTAGGATGCTTGACAGAAGCAGAGTGTTTACAATGTAGGGAAACATAGATGTCTAACAAACCCATTAAAATACACAAGAATGCAGAAAATTGCATCTACTTTATTTACAATTTTCTGGGGGAGGGCACCCAGGACCCCCCAGCCCGCCCGCCTGCTATTTGCATTCCAGCATCGATCGGTTTACAAATGAAGCCCTGAGAGTAATCAATTTGTAACAAGCAGAACACTGATTGTTAAATACAGTAAACATTTGACACAATAATAAAATAACATATGTTTGTGACAAAACGATTCTGTAGACTTTAGGATTAAATGATTGCAGACAGTCTCTCTGTGTTTCAGCACCAACAGACTAAAATCCTGATTATTTACTCAACGTCAGCTTAAAAATTAGGTTTTTCTACAAAACCCCTATTTTAAAAAAAACACCATGTGAGACATTTATTAAAGACTGAAGAATCCCCTTGACTGTGCTCTTTGTTGGTTACACTATTACACACACTCCATTACAAAATAACAAAGGTATGTTTTTGTTTATTTGTCAGCAAAATTGAGTTAAAACTGCTAAATTATTGTGACACTCTGCAAAGAGGTGCAGCTTGCAGAAAGGTATTTTGTTCCACATTTAAATGATCTGTTTTAGCTGCAAGATGCAGCATCAACCCACATCGCCGTTCAGCTAGTCAGATTCAAAGAGCTGCAGTTGAATAAAGTCCAGTAGCGTTCGTGAGATCAGTAATCACCACTGCTGGAGGTCTGGAGGATATTCAGGTTATTTTGGTTACATAAACCGCTGATGTTCTTTTCATTTGTACTCTGCCTTCAATTAGTCTGTAGATGGAATTATGTTAAGACTGGCTGTAAACGGAGTCATTAAGTCGTTACAAAGTAGTGGTGTGTAGTAAGGTGGTGTGGCATGCAGCTGTACAACAGGCTATTGTAAAACATTTTTGCTTAGCTGGTTAGCCTTTTGATTTGTGTTTTACTTGGGAGAATGTGTCAGCTGCAGTTGGCTCTGGGTCAGGATCACATGAATGTGGTGGACTGCGTGTTGCTTCTGAGTGATTCTGGAACTTTTCATCCCATCTAACTGTGTGCACACAGAGTTTTAAATACAAAGCATGTATTCTTTTTCTTCATACCCTGGGTGTGGAGAAAATGTGCATTAGAGTTCAAGTAAATCCCCTTTTCAAGGATAGTGAGGGTGGCATTTTGCTCTAAGTACATGTGGTTTTCCTGCAGAAATAAGGTATGTGCCAGATTTAGTGTCTCTACTAGAACATTATGTTTGTATATGTTACATTTCTTCCACCTTGTTGCAACGTGACTTTACATGGATAAGTAACTTTGGTGTGTGTGCAACAGTGTTTATAGCAGAACTGCTCTTCCTGTCGGGGCTTCCTGACTTCAGGGTACAGGAGTAAGAGCTGGAGAGGGCAGCTGTTAAAGGTTACTGATGGTGGTGAGGTGTTGGCGTGAGGTGTTTATGTGAAATTATTCCTTTTGTTGTGCTGACAGGAAGCAGGCGGTCCTGACTTTCTGAGGCCAGGTGGAGGTCAGCTTCACTGCTTACTCATCATAAACTCATGGTTGAGGAGCACTACAAGTATCCTAAATGAAAAATATAAAATAGTCTATACTCATCTGCCTTTGGAGTACTCCGAATAAAAGAAAAGTGGAGAAGAACAATGGATTTATTCATAGGAAAGTGAAAATGTTCGTTCTTGTCTTTAACCTTCAGGCTCAGCTTTTTCAATTTAATTTTATTTGCCAAATCTCATAAAGTTTAAACACGATCACATGTTATGATGGGAAATTTTTTTCTAAAACATCCATTCTGCTGCATGGAGACTGACAGGCTGTTGTTCATTCCGGAAAGCTGCAGTTCACTAATATATGGTTCCCGCAGCAATACATTATGTTCTTTATTTTGAAAAAGCTGGAACAGAACAACGTCAGGATTGTTTCCAAACCCAGAGTTGCTGCTGTTTGTTTTTCCATGATTGGAGCTAAAATCACTTTACAACGATTGACTGTTGTGCTGAGCAGGTCGTTCATATAAGCACAAACACTCACCAGAGGGTCCTAAATAGAAATAAATATTAAATCTAGGAAATATAGTTTCACCAAGATGCTTTGTACACTTGACTCTTTTAGTTCCCTGTTTGAACAGTGAATATTTTATCTGTACACTCCCGTAGTATATTTCCGACAGCTTTCAGGTTTAACCAACCATATTAGACAAACTAAAATGTACCCAATATTTCTGTTTTTGACTTACTTATTGAAACTGCACATAACAGAGAATACTTTATCCCTTTCTGTACTGTGTCATCTTGTTTATTTTACTTAAAATGTATACCACCGTGAATACTAATGTAGTTGTGAAATTATGTACTTCATAAATAATTTCTTATTTTCCTCTTGTGATGACGGACAGTTTGTTCTGCTTGAGATGGCGGAGACCATGAATAGAACTTTGAGGAAATTCATTCTCTCTGTTTATAAATTGGTTTCTCTGTTATGGACTGTACTTATCTTGCACCTTTCTATCTTATCAAGATACTCAAAGTTCTTTACACGACAATCTTTGTCCTCATTTACCATTCATACAGCACTCTACTAGATCTATACAAAGCTAATTGAACAAATCATTCTAAAGAGACTAATCAGTGTTTTGTCACATTCATACACCGATGGGACACACTTCGGAGGCAATGAAGGGTTCAGTGTCTTGCCCAGGGACACTTCGGCATGTGACTGCTGGCAGATTCGAACCCCCAACTCCTGCATTGGAGGATGACTGCTCTAACCACTCGGCCACAGCCGCCCATCGGTTACCTACTCTTCAGTCTGGTTTGCAAACCGTCAGCTCGTTTGTAAACTCTGCTCTTTGGTTGGTAAAGAGACTTTATTTTGTTTGAGAGCTACAAATTTAAAACCTAGAAAAGTTGGATTTATATCAGTTGTAGGAAGCAAAGAACTACCAATCAAACCGTGGCTAAATCACAAGTTTCACCTCCTTTGAAGCACTGAAGTAAATTGAATCAAAATGTTCTGAAACTTCCTGATGCATGCTCAATAATCCAGGTAGAATAATCTAAAAAAGTTAAGTCTGGTCCTCTGGACATTCAAAAAACAAAACAAAACAAAAAAAGTTGTAGAAACGTTTCGTCTTTCATCCGAAAGACTTCCTCAGTCTGTTTTTTGAACGTCCAGAGGACCAGACTTAACTTTTTTAGGTTCTGAAACTTGTTCACAAAGTTTAACACCTCACATTAATTATTCAGTACTGTTAAGTATTAATGACTGATATTTGTATACTTCAGTATATAAACAATATTCAGTAACTTTATTAGTTCTAGCTGAAGTATTACCAAACTAACAAGATACATTAGTGTCTTTTATTAGTCTCATGGACAAAAATAGAATCTGCAAACATGAATACAGTAATAATAACAGATTATAAAAATGATAACGTAGAATCTGATCAACTTCACTAATTTTGAAATTCTCTATTTTTTGCACTTCCTTTCAAATTAAGTCCATTCTTAGCTAGTGGTAGTCAGGAATATCCAGATTCCTGGATGACAATGATGAACTTCCCCCTTTTTCTAAAATATGGCATCAGTCGGCTTTTAAAAGCTCAAAGTGGAAGATGCTGGGGGCTAATGTTGATGTCTCTAACCCCGCTGAGGTACAAGTTTGTCCTGTCTTACCTTTTTCATCAACTATCATTTTCTAGATCAAAAAGGCAAAACAGTGAGGCACAGCACAGTTAGGCTTTCATCAAGAAGGTTGCCGAATCGAATCCCGGTCCGGGGGCCTTTCTGGGTGGAGTTTGCATGTTCTCTCCGTGCATGCGTGGGTTTTCTCCGGGTACTCCGGTTTCCTCTCACAGACCAAAAACATGCATGTTAGGTGGATTGGTAACTCTAAATTGTCCCTAGGTGTGAGTGAGAGAGTGAATGGTTGTTTGTCTCTACGTGTGATGGACTGAGACCTGTACAAGGTGTCCTCCGCCTCTCGCACAGACTCCTGGCTATGGACACCAGTAACCCCTGCGAATTGAAAAGGCAAACATAGTTTAATCTAGAATGTGTAACAAACTCATCAGTTGTTTGAAATGCGAACAAACCATTTGTTAACTGCTGCTCAAGAGTGACAGAGTGAATAATTGATAGTTGGTTCAGACGTTGTGGCCAGGTTATGAAATGTGTTTTGTCACTGTGTTGCTGTCTTATGGTCACATTTCCAAACCGCAACTAGTTGGGTAAATGTCCACCTTCCTACGGCCTTCTAACACAAAGATGGTGACAGAGTTAATTCAACTGTTTAGTCTGTGACACAGTGTATAAGCTGCAGGCCGAGACATGAGGGGCTCCTTGTCCCCTTCAGTTCTCTCTCTTCCATTCGTCTGCAGTTTCCCGCTCTTACCAAAAGCAGTCAGCTCTCATCAAGCGCCGGTTATGAAGAGCCAACAAAGACAAACCAGGCAGGGGTCTGCACGTCAGTGCTCCAACAATGGAGCCAGTCAGGCTCCATAAGCACATGGTCTCTCATCTGTCCCATATACTGTACTTCGTTTTTCAATCACCTTTGAATCTACAGAGACTTGGACCAGCTCCCTCCAGTATCGTGCCCACTTTCCGCTTTCCTACACACTTTATTTTTATTTTTTTACATAATCTAAAATGAGTTTTCTTGTAAATCTCAACTTTCTAGTACTTCTTGTGGGTTTATTTTCATTAAACTGAAGCCAGGCCCTGTGTGTGACACTCTTCCAAAATAAGTAAGATGATTTTTTTTCCCCTCCACTTTTCCCCTAAAACTTTCTTCTCAGAGGAGTATAGAGATTGCATTGTAGCACGTTGTTAACCCAGGTGGTTCTTGTGTCTTTTTCTTTCTGCAGTTATGGTGATCGTGCTGCTGCGCTACGCTCACGTTATTGAGAAGCACCAGAACTGTGTTCTCAACATGGCGAGTCTGTCCACAGGCTGGATCTGTTCTGCTGGACTCATCATGGTGGGAAACTTCCAGGTAGGAAAGATGCATTCATAGTAACAGTCAAAAGTAAAAGCAGAAGAAAAGTGAGGAACCTTGAATTTAAAAATAACCCTGTATGAAAAAAAAAAGAGGATATTTTGTAGCTAAACAGAACTAAAATTAAAGGCTAGGTCTTATGATCTTATTTTAAAAATGACGGAGATATAGCTCTTTTGGCCAAATCTTGAAATTAATCTTTTGTGAGATTGCTTGTAAAGTTTACAAATTTTTGCATGACCTTTCAACACTCACAGTATGTGCAGTATGTGTTGGGAATGACTATCACACCGAAGTTTACCTCAAAACCTGTAAAACTGACTGAGTTAAAACCATATTTTTGTTTTCTAAGATCAGCCATCTTGATTCAGGTTGACTCCAAAATTTAATGGTAAAAATTTTAAACAGAGCCGCACAGTGGCTCAGTTGGTAGATCTGTTGCCTCTCTACGGAAAGGTCGATAGCTCAAATCCTGGCCGGGGCCTTTCTGGGTGGAGTTTGCATATTCTCTCTATGCATGCATGGATTTTCCCCAAGTACTCCTGTTTCCTCCCACAGACCAAAACATGCATGTTAGGTTGATTGGTAACACTAAATTGTCCCTAGGTGAGAGTGAGAGAGTGAATGGTTGTTTGTCTCTATGTGTCCCTGTGATGGACTTGCAACCTGTCCAGAGTGTGCCCCGCCTCTCGCACAGAGACTTGGTTATGGTCATCAGTGACCCTGTGACCCAGAAGGGAAGGAGCGAGTGAAGATGATGGATGGATGGATGGATGGATGGATGGATGGATGGAAATTTAAAAAAATCTTGAATCATCTGTTTGCACTCAGTTTCTGTTGGGGATGACTCTAAGCTACTACCGCACCTAAATTGATGTCAGTGTCTGTAGAATTGATTGTTAGCCATCTTTGTTTTTGCTAAGATGTGTTAGTTGTGGAAACCTCTTGGCAGTGGGTGATACCACATCATGTTGCTGCTGATCTGTTTCACGTTACTGTGTTCATTCGTGCTCATCTGCTCACACAGACTCATGTTCGTGCTGCTGTTTGGCTTATTGTTTTTATACTACTAATGCTTAGTGTGTTTTTAGTTAATGTTTTTCGTAGTTCATATATTATAGATCTTATTACTGTTTTTCTTATACATTTTAATACTTTTGTTGGATGTAACTGGGACCCTGTGTACACAATTTTGTTCCACCACGTGTACCACATGTGGTGTGAATGACAAATAAAGAACCTTTAAAGAACCTTGAATCCTTGAATACCTTAAGATTTTTATTTCCGTCTTTCTGTCATGCACTTTGTATCCCAGAGGAAATCTTCCTGGAGGTTTGTTGAGTTCTCTGTCCTCAGAGACAGAACACTGCGATGTTCTTTCCAGTGAGTTTAGACGTTAAAACCTTGGAGTGTAGAAGCTTAGCCTGAATTCCTTCTATGTACAACTTTTCTGGGAAAGAATTTCTTGATGTTTAAATATTTGGAGCCCTGGCTGTGAGCCTAGAGTGTGTGTGTGTGTTGTGTTGAAGGGACAGGGATCTCTTTCCACGGTCACATTTTTGGGGTTGTGATTCGATTACCGGGGAGCTCCACAACATGCAGTTTTAAGACAATGAGCTCATAAAGATTAGAGAGAAATGTGGGGTTGTGTAAACTTGGTTTAGCGTAGATGTTTAAGAAATTTCTGACTGAGTAATGCGTTGTGATGGATGTGCGTTTGTTTCATTTTGTTAAAGATAAAGATCCTCTGGCAACGGAGACCCGTCGTGGTTAACATTCCTAGTGTTTTTCTGACACGTGAAGGTCTGAAGGAGCGACTTCAGAGATGAAACGGACACAGTTTGGTTTGATATTTGTGGTCGTCTGTTTGCCTCGCTTTTAAAAGATTGTGAAATAGCTGACTGCTCCTGATAAAAAGTGGAAGGAGAAGTGACTCATGCAGCTTAAAAAATGTTTTATTTTATTAATTGTGATGCTAATGCCAAAATACATCCAAGGTCAAAGTTTTTTAAATTAAATGAACACATTTTTTCAAATACCTTCATGGTTATTTTTGAGCTGAGGTTCAACAGAATGTCAAAACCGTGGAGCATCTGAGGAAATTAGATTTTTAAGTGTCCTTGATGCTGTTTCTTATTTTTTTTTTCCTTTTGGCAAACCTCAAAAGTGCAAAGTTCATTTGGCTTCCACGTTAGCAAAATATTTCACAAACCACCTGGCGAGTTTTAATGAAAGTCCCACAAAGTATTCTTTGCATGTACATGTACAACGCTTTAACTTTTGGAGTCGACCCGATTCAAGATGGCCGTCACAGCTGATTGATCATAGCTAAAACAACATCTAATAGAACTTATACAATTTCACATATATTAAGCTAGAACCTGGGGTGGTAGTAGCTGAGAGTCATCTCCAAGAGACACTCGGAGGGCAAACGGATTGCGCATGCTTTCTGTTTAAGACTTAGACGTGCAGCGGATATAATGCATTCCTTTAAGGAATGCTGGTCTAATTTCAAATTATGTTCAGTTGAATATCCAAACTCAGGTGCCAGAAAATATCTTTTTATACTCTTTGCTTCTAATTTACATAAAACAACACCATGAACTGTGTTGTTGTTCCACCGGTTGGGGGGAAAAAAAAAACAGCCTTCATCTGAGGAAAAACTTTGAATGACCTTCAGAAAATACTGCTCTTAAAATGATGAAAAGAAAATCTAGCTTCTCAAAGGCAAAATTTAAAACTGGGATGGCTCAGAATTCCTCCGCAGAAAATGAGGATAAAGACAATGTTGTACACGTGTGGGACAGATGTGCAGCAGTGGTTGTTTGCGTTGGCGAACAAGCAGGTTTGCCTTCGCCGTTTTCCCGCTTCTCCTGCGAGGTGCTGCAGAACTGGGAGGAATTTACGGGAAGAGCCAGGGGGAGTGAATCATCGAGTCTGGCTGTACGGAGAGAGGAGCTGGGCAGAACGAGTGATCCACCCTGATCCTTGCAGCTCGTTTTCAGGTTGCAGTCTTCTACAGTTTGGAAGGAGATGCAGACAAAACTAAAATGTGTGAATCACATTCTGTTGGAGAAGCAAGCAAATGCCCAAATCTGAGGTCTCAGAAGCACATTTCAGCAGCCAACTATCACAAACAAGTCAAAACTACAAGAAAAAGCAAAGCAAATGCGTTAGAAACAAAATTTGAATCCTCCAAATTGAAGTGAATGAAAACCTCAGACACAACAACAAACTGAAAGTCTTTAAGAAACGACCAGTTTGTACAGGTGTGTTACTGAAGACGTTGGCAGCACACCAGTAAATCTGGCCACTGGGAGGTTTCCTGTAAAGGAATCTGATAATTTGGGAAAAGAAGCTGCTCCATGGAGATCCATGAACATCTCTCTGCTTCATAAACACTTCAAGTATACTAGAAACATTTTTGTACCGTTATGTTGCATCAGTTTTTTTTGGGAGCAGCTGTGGCTGAGTGGTTAGAGCAGTCGTCCTCCAATGCAAGAGGTGGGGGTTCGATTCCACCAGCAGTCACATGCTGAAGTGTCTCTGGGCAAGACACTGAACCCCTCATTGCCTCTGATGTGTGTCCCATCGGTGTCTGAATGTGATAAAGCTCTGATTATTCTTTGTAGAGATCTAGTAGAGTGCTGTATGAATGGGTAAATGAGGCACAGATTGTAGTGTAAAGAGCTTTGAGTATCTTGATCAGATAGAAAGGTGCTATATACGTACAGTCCATTTTGTTTCTGTTAGTATTTTTTATTGAGATCATTTCATCCTTTCTCCCTCCACTGATGCTATCCTGTAAACATTTACTAAAATGTCACAGTGATTCTCGACTTCATGTATATTTTGATTTTTAGACATAAACATTTCCTTGGTGCTTTAAATGCGTAATCGAGTCAGCAAACAGTGACTGTGCTTCTTGATAAAATCTGGTATAATAGAAAAAACTCAAAGCTCAGACTGATTTTAAATACTCATGATATTAGTAAACGTATGTTAATTTTTACAAGTCATATAACACAAAAATGTAAGTGAAAAGTTAAAATAAAATTATCCTTTTTGGGCAGATATGTGGATTTATGTGCAGAATGCATACACATACTATATATATATATATATATATATTATATATATATATATATATATTATTATACTGTGCACACACACAAATGGAATTATCTAGAAGTGTAATTTTGTCACCTCAGGGATTTGTCTTGTATAAGAATGTTCAGTATGCACCAACCAGGTCTGCAGGATAATGGCTTTGAAATAAAACTTCATAACTTCTCAGCTGTTGCTCTAATGATCCCCTGGATTTACTGGATGTGGAGCAGTGGGACGCAGTTACAGTACTCCAAATATCCTTTAATCTTCCGGTCAGGAAAAGCTATTCTCTTTTCATCCATGTAAATCAGGAGGGTCGTAAAGTTCTGGTTAATGCTGCGTTGAATTGCTTATCTGTTCAGATCGGTACGTCGGAGGTCTGTGTGACCCTTCAGTGGCAGCTGTGGTCACATGCTACTGAGCTGATCTTTTATGTATTGTTTCCTCTTGTGACCAGCAGGGAGAAGGAGGCTTTCTGTTGTATTTGCTTCATGACATGATTTAACCATTTTTGTTATTTGCTCCGTGCTTTGTTTTAATTATATTTTCCTCTTTTTCATGTCTGAATAATCTGACCAGGTTTCTTGAAGCTGATGTTTTCCTCCATTTGTCTAACATGTTGTAACACCATCTTTTGTTCCTCCTCCTCACCCGACAGGTGGATAATGCCAAAGTTCTCCACTATGTCGGAGCGGGCATCGCCTTCCCCACCAGTATGCTGTTTGTGTGCCTGCAGTCGGCGCTGACCTACCGGCTGGCTAAGACTCAGGGGGAGTACTACACGGCTCACCTCCGGCTCTGCATGACCTTCCTGGCCTTCGGAGCCTTGGTGCTCAGTATCCTCTTTAGCCGCTGGCAGTAGTAAAGTGTTTCCTTCAGAGCTTCTATGCTGGCATACACTCATCATGGGCATGAATGTTGTATTATTGTGGGGCTTTTAATGATTTATTTAATCTTTTATTTCAGTGTGGAACGATTGCGCAACATACAGCTTCAGCTGATCTTATAAACAAGAATTGTGTTCACAAAGTCAATTCTCTGTGGAGTTTCTTTATTTGACTAATCCATTAATCAAGTTGTACCTCAACAACACTTTTTTTTAGCCATCAACAAGCTTCTATCATAATTCTGGCTGAAATCTTGACACCACTTCTTACCAGAATTGGTAGAGTTTATTTAAATTGGTTGTTATCCTGGTAAAGACCTGATTTTTAAGAGCTTGAGGCTTTAGGAAGGTTATTCCAGAAGTTTAATTTCAAGTTTCAACCTTAGAGCTGTTGATTTGACGTGAAGTTGGAGAGTTTGATGGTAGTCCTCCTCCTAGATTTTTCCATCCACTTTGAGTATAGCACCAGCACCATAGTATGATGCTACCACCACCATGCCTGTTAGTTTGTACAATGTTTGCAGCTGCAAATTTTAGTTGATTGTTGATGATGATTTCATTAACTGATTATTTCAGTTGGTCTTGTAAAGTTAAAAGACCCTTCAGCTTCAACTTAAAGATTTATATGCACGTATGGCTATATTTGAGAAAATCACAATAAATTCAAACTTTTTCACTGTTTTCTTAAAAAAAAAAAAAACAACATTTAGGTTGTATGTCTTGTAGTGTTGTAGTACTCGAGACCACCAAGACCGGTCTCAAGACCACTTTTTGATGGTCTCGGTCTTGTCTCGGTCTCGGGCATCGAGGACTCAGGATTTTACTTCAAGACCAGTCAAGACCACAACTGTGGAAAAATCACTAAATTATCAGAATATTGTCCAGTTTATTTGTTAACATCTTTGTTTTTATTGGATGCAAAACGTACCGATTCAAATCCCAGAGATAATGTGACTCATTGTTAAATACATGTTTTTGTTCCTGCTGTCACGCCCACTCCCTTTCACTCGTGTGCGGTTCTGTACCAGCAGAACAATACAGACAACAGAACGTAACGTCGCAACCAGGGGTGAAAGTAAGCGGTACGGTACTGATTACCACTAAAAGATTTTGCGCTGGAAGAGAGGGGAGCGGCTGTGTGCTGTAAAGCTGTCATACAGAACCAGTCACTTTGGGTCAGAATAGATTCTCTAGCAATAAGCAGTCTAAAACACAACTTAATCAGTTAATAAGTAGCTTTTTTTTTTCTCATTTCAAATTGTTTCTGTTCTGTTCATGTTATGCTGGAGCCTTGTTTTTCTACCGCGGTGAAGTTAGTTTTACGTTGGACATTGGAGCTTCGTGTCTTCAGCGGTGTGTTCCTCTTGTTTGATCCGATGCAGGCAGTCTGATTTCAGTGAGCTGCGATCAGTCTGCCCCTCCTCCGACACGTAATGGTTCGTTTAGGGGACCGTCAACAAATTACTAAACCAAACACTCTTCAGAAACAAAAATTAAAATCTTTTACATCATTTGACCCATTGACACAAAACAAATGTTAAACTACTCTAATAGACCTGACACACAAGACACCATCATTTATTTCTCATTTTAAAGCATTTTCTAATTAGTTATTGAGCGAAAACCATGATTTTTGAACAAATAAATTATGTAAAATCAGAAAATGCTTTAAAATGAGAAATAAATGAGGGTGCCTCGTCTGTCAGGTCTAGTAGAGTAGTTTAACATACGTTTTGTGTCAGTGGGTCACATGACATGAAAATTATTGTGCAAAAACCACTGAATGTCTGACTTCTTTGTTATGAAGCTTTGAAAATGTATAAAAGTGATACATTCATTCAAAAGCAAACTTAAAGTTGCAGTATGTAACTTAAAAAAAAAAGCATTTTTATAAAAGTTACTTTTTTCTTTTTTTTTACACATTTGTTAAAACTGTCGCTACGTATGTTGTGATAAGACAGATAATCTGTGAAAAGATGGAGCTCCGAGACTTGAGGTATTGGTCTCGATTTGGTCTCGGACCCCAAAAGTCTTGGTCTTGTCTCGGTTTCGGTACACTCTGGTCTTGGTCTCAGGCCTTGACTACAACACTGATGTCTTGTAATAATTTCACTCTGGAAATGGACCAATTTATATTACAATTTACACGTTTATGCCCATGGTGCATGTATGTAAACTTCTGATGGCAGCTGTATCACACATTGCAGTAGAAGGCTGTGACGGACAATAAATCTAAACAATCATTTCATATTTTCAGATCAACTTGAATAAGTGAAATCCAGACAGAAAGCTGACGGCTCTAACGTCAGGTTGGCTCAGAGGTTTTGTTGCTGCTTTCCTTAACGGTGTTTTCAGGCGGAGTGTTTTTCTGTCAGGAGAGCTTCGCCCTGCAGCACGCTTCGGCCGTCTTCGAATGGGTGTTCTGCGTCATCATCATGCTGTTTCACGGGACGTTTGCCTTCGAGTTCGCCAGCATGTCGGGAGACACCATGGCAGTTCTGGCCCGGAGAGGCTCCCGTGGATTTGCCAGGAGAGAACTTAAAGTGGACGCGCTGAGTGCACCCATTCCACACTCACAACCACACCTGCACCAACCTGAAAACATGTCCATACTGTAAAGATCTGCCTCTTCTTCAAGACGTTCGCTTTGATTCTTCCTAACTCTGGACGCCGAACGAGTTTAATTCTTCGTGCCCCGACACGTTCACCTAAAGCTTTAAAATAAAAGCAGGCCAGTGCAGCAGCTCTTCACAGCTGAACGTTTCTTCAAAAAAAAAAAAAAAAAAAAAAAAAGAAGTCTTGCTTGCATTTTGCACATTGCCCAAGCGTGACACCAAATTTTCTCCAGTCCTGACGTCAGTGACGAGCATCAGAGGAGGATTTTGTCAACCGGATGACAAACATAAAGTGCCGTACTGATGTTCTGAACAGGCTCGGATTGCAGCGTGGGACCGTTTCCTCTCATGACTGCCATGATGCTTTCTTTGTACGTAAAGAGATGAGGCTGCTGGACAGCCCATCTCACAGTATTACAGTAGTGACACAGAAACAGTGATGTATGAGTGCCAGTATTTAAAAACAAAATGTTTTATTCAATTTGTGGAGGGAAAAGTCAACTTTAGGCATTTTACAATCGGTTACACCTCAATAAGCAATATGATATCGAGTTATTAATAACATCCCAGCTACTTTCACTATTGTGTCCTCTGTGTCTTATCTGCCTTCAAGCCAAAGATAAGGGGACCACGAAGCTACAACCCAGAATATGTTTCTCAGGAGCTGAACAACCAAGGCCAAATGTAATACTTTGTTGTGGAAGTGAAGATAAAAATGTGTTTCCTTGGTGTGTTTGTGTTCACAACCAACCTTTATGCAGTTTCAGAGCACGTTTCCTGGGTACCCACAACCGTCAGAATGTGTGATAATCTTGTGTCGTATTTATTACAGTATACAGAGTATACACGTGGTGCCTTTATAGGTTTAAATGTAAGATCTGATGCTGAAACAGTGTTGTTCCTGCTTAGAATAAGAAATGATGTTGAACCTAAAGTAATATTGGATTTAACTTCCTGTGTGTAGCGGTAAAAGAAGCCAAACAGGCTAAGTCAAGCCAGAACGCCGACTTTATTGAGTGTAGAGACAGTTTGTTTTCTGGTTCAGACAATGGAGAGCTGCATCTTCTTTTTTCCCTTTAAGGACGAGGAGAATGTGCTTCTTGGTTTACCTGCTGCTTTCGTTTGAAAGCGCCGAACAGTACCACGTGTTCTGCATATCGAGCTGTCATTGTAACATTTACATGCCAAGTTCTGGTTTGTCTGCGCCTAAGCACAAAAAAGGCTTTCATACTATCATCTTTTTCACCTCCTTGGTTTTATAACTTAGTACTTTGTAGCAATAAGATGAGGTGTAGGATCATATGACACCGGGGATACTAAAAAGAAAGAAAAATGCTCCCTCAAACCACAGTAGGCCACGTGTTTTTTTTTTTTTGTGCCAGGATTTTAGGTGCATGAGAACTTTTAAAACATGGTTACACAATTTGTTCCTTCTGCTTTGCCATGTAATGAAGCTGGATGTTAAATGTCAACAGAAGTTTGTGCAGCTGTTGGAGGCAGAAACACTGATCCTTGCTGCCCCCTGCTGGTCAAACTTCCTCTCTGCACCCTTAAAATCAACTGCAGCTGTAGCTTCAGTTCACAGGATGGAAAAGTTGAACATCTTTTGTGCTCACTGTCCCAGTTGTTCAGCTTTTTGTCTAAATGCATTGTGTTTTTTCTTAAAAAAATAACATCTTGAGCTCCTGTTTGTTCCTTCTGGCTTCAGTCGTTTAAACCATTCCACCGTACACTACTTTCACAGGACGTGTTCTTTTAAAAGGTCAATATATTCAGAATGTCAAGCCATGTGATGGTGCTTTTTACTGCTGCTTCGACAAGAAACTTTTTGTCATTTCTCAGTGTTTACTAAAGTTTTATATGTTTTGCTTTATTTGTCATAAAACACTAGTTGGAGTCCCGTCTTCTTTCACGTCGGTATCTTTACTCGCTGTTCTTCTCTTGTTTATGGGTCTTTTGGATCTTTGCACTCAGGAAAGTTGTTCAACACCAGCTGCGTACTTTTGATTCAAACCAGTAAGAAGTTATCTGTTAGTTTTCTTTTTATAGAAGATGGATGCAACAGGTTATTCATTTGTAGGGTTGATTTTAGTTATGATGATGGATTAAAAAAAAGGCTGTAATCGTAGCTTATGAAACTCCTTGTGCTGCTCATGCAAACATGGTGAAGGATCTTCAAAACCTTAGCTTCATGAAATCATATCCGTGAGAGCATTTTGATGAACTAACCAGCGGCTGTAAATCAATCAAAAAGCTCTTCTTTTGGTACAGTTCTTACGTTTGTTTTGTTTTAATGTAAAATGCTGCCTGTGCCTTACGTATTGTACTGATAACCAAACAGGTGTAGGTTGTAAACTGTTCTGATGCAAAGTCGTATGATTGTATGCAGACTGTACACGTTCTAATGTTCAATAAATAAAACTTAAAGAATCTAACAGGCAAACTCACTCTTTTGTACACAAATTGGTCATTCCATCTTAAAACAGCGATTTTTATTTAAATTTTTTACATTTTTACTGGTGAGTCTTTGAAAAACAAAAGGCCTGGGATTCTACGAAGGAGTGCATATCACCCGCCTCCTGTCCAAAAGTTTAAAATAAATGTCATGGATTTCTTAACCAACAGATCGCAGTCTGTGAGGATCCAAAACTTCTCCTCCACCATAACCCTCTGCACTGGCTCTCCTCAGGGCTGTGTGTTGAGCCCCCTCCTGTTCACTTGTTTCACAAATGACTGCACACCTACCCATCCAGGCTGTCATATTGTACATTTTGCAGATGATACAGCAGTGGTTGGATGCAACACAAGCAACGATGAGCCCAGCTACAGGCTGGAGGTGGAACACCTGGAGAGCTGGTGCAGGAAGAACAACCTCAACATCAATATGAAGACCAAGGAGATGATTATTGATTTTAGGAGCATACACACCTCCCCCACCCAGCCCTTGAACATAGAAGGATCTACCGTGGAATTTCTTTACACCTCGTGTACCACATGTGATGTGAATGACAATAAATATACTTAAACTTGATCTCTTGTTGAGAAATGACAAATGCATATCTATTTGGTCAAACCTTAAAAATAACATCACAAAATGTCACGCTCAAAGTATGTGTGGTGAATAATTGCTACAATCACACCAAATTTTAGCTCCGTTTCTTTCAAATTTAACAAATTATATCCTTTTTTGTTTGTTTACTAGGGTTAATGGCGGCGGCCCTGTGATGGACTTGCGACCCGTCCAGGGTGTACCCCGCCCCTCGCACACCGATTGCTGGACATGGGCACCGGCGAACCCCGTGACCCAAAATGGAACAAGCGGGTAAAAGATAATGAATGGATGGTTAATGGTGGCTATCTTGAATAGGGTTGACTCCAATAATCAATTGTAGATTCTGTGATTTCTTTAAGAAAAGTTATGTAAAATCTGTCAAGTTCACGAGATATTTTGCTAACAGACACACGCAAAAACATTAGCCTCCACATTTTGTCTGCAGGTGATAGCAAATAATAAAAAGTCAATTAACTGTGACCACCTTTAAATCCGTACACATTAAAATAGTATATACACAGTTTAAATGTAACGTCTTTCTCTATATGACTAATATTGGAAAATTTTAAACAGTTTTACAAAAACAAACAACAATAAAGCATTTTTAAAGAGGGAAAACGTTGGTTTAATTGATTCAGAATAGAACAAAAACATAATATGCTATAGAAAGAGTCAGACAGCGCTTTACTTTTGTAGACCATTTATTGTTTCATTATTTACATCGTCCCACCTCTCGGACAATAAAGTTATCAGAGGGGTGACACAGAAAACATGTTGAGCATAATGCTGGCTGCACACTAACTGTCTCTGTAGACACAAAGACCTAAAGCAAGACTTCAGAGGTGTTAAACTAATTACAGTTTCTAAATGTTTTCTAGTTGAAATTCAGAGTTGTCAAATCTACAATGGAGGGTTGCAACGAGTTAAGACTTCAGACATTTTAACAAGCTTGAACTTTCAGATGCGGTATAAAATCAAAGGAAATGTAAGTCTGAAACACATACCGATCAGGCTCATAATATATTTAAGGCATTTTGGTGGGCCACTGAGTGCTTCGCTCCTAACAGACCAATCACTAAAGTCAAGTTTAAGGCTTCTAATAATTTGCTCAAATTACAGACTTCAAAAGGAGCAAATTAAAAGTAATGCTTTCTTGTCACCCATTAAAACCTGAGGATAAATAACTAATGCGTTTGGTGTTAACGAGGGGTAAATACAAAAGCGTGAACTTTACGTTTACTCCCTTCGGGTTTTAGCGACCCGCTCTCGTTTGCCGTCATGACGGCCTTCTGCAGCATACATAACAGAAAAAGGCGCTTCGCTTTCAACACGAAAAAAACATTCAATACGTTCTTCAAAATCTTTGGTTTAAGCTGTAATCACATTAGTGACATTAACATCAGTGCTCGCTGATGGAAGCACCTGCAAATCTAAAACGCTGAGGTCATTTCATTTCATCATACTGGCCAGAAAACACAACGTAATAACTGAGGTAAAACTCAGCCTCTAGTTGTATGTAGTGGTACAGAAGTACTTATTTGCTGTGGAGGCCCTTTATCAGATATGATCTTTGACTTTGGACTACACAAACATTTGAAGCACCAAAAACTGAATGGTTTGTTTTCTGGGAAATAAAAAACTCCCACCCACCCATTCACAAACCTAACCCCCCCACCAATTATCTTCTTACACCTTTTATACAAACCTATTGTCCATTTATTCAGCTTTAACTTCATTAACTCATCCAGACCTGCTGCAACAAATGCATTAAACCTTGCATCCTCCTTTTAAAGACCAATTTATTTTCTCAAACACTGATGGGGTCGTGTAAGCCAAACGTTAAACTTCTCTAAACGTTTCTAAGTGATTTTCCTTCTGATTTTGGTAGTTTTCTTTATGGCGCCTTCGGTCTGAATGGGTTAAAGACGTCTCGTCGTGTGATGAGGCTGGCAGCTACAGATCGTGATGGAGCGTCTTCGCTCTGCAGGTCGGTGGGTCTGGACAGGCAGGCAAAGTTCTTAGAAGACAAGCTTTTTGGGAACCTCCCAAGAAAACTCTGCCCGTCCAAAGTGACCGTAGGCGGCAGTCTGTTGGTAGATGGGCCTCTTCAGCTCCAGATCTCTACAGACAATACAGGGAAAAAAGCAACATCAGCCAAAATGTTAAGTTCCTGGAAAAAAATAATACAGACATGTTCTTTTTTTTCCCCTCACTCGCTCTCGTGCGAGGCGGAAACATTTTCTTCCCTCTCCTGTTCTCCTCCTGCTTTTTTTTTTTTTGCTCTCTGTCTGTGCATCGAAGCTCCTATTTTACATATTTTCCAAAACGAAAACTACTGTCACAGATCTGGTCAGCTGGACTTTCAACGCAATCGACAAAATCTTTTCAACAAAGCGACAGGGTCCTGGAGAGCCCTCATGTCCCGCTGAAACGCACGCTGCACGATACGTCATGGATGTGGGAGCTGATGCGTTTTTCCGTTTTGCCTCAGGAGGATGCCAAAGACATTTTTAATTAGATTAATGATAACAGGTTTCCTGCTTTTTGGAATAGGCTGGTTCCTGGTCTATCAACATACAAAGAAGACGGCTGCAGCTAATTTGACCCCTGTCAGGTTGCCTGCCTTGTGAAGGTTTGTTCATGCTTCGAGGACTCAAAATCAGCTGATTTACGAGCTAAACCGTAAGATGGAAGTGATTTGTGAGAATCGCAGGCCACCTGCGGCTTCTGGGACTCGCCAGCATGTTAGAGACGACCTTGGAGGAGGCTTGTAAGCATGGACCAGTGGAATGCCCACTAATCTGGCCATTTTGGATCTTGAAAGTACCAGCAGAACTGAAGGCTGACAAGAAAAAAGTCTGCCTGAAAAAAAATCAACGATTGTGGCTTATCTGAATCTGACTCCCCCGGTTGACCTCAAAAACAGGCCGACATATCCAAATTCTCCTGGGATATTTCTAAACTAAGGAAAAGCTTTGTCTATCCCAAACCCCGAGAACTTCTGTGGAGGCTTATCAGAACTGTGCCGGCTGACAAACATCTTATCAGGACTATGGTGCTATCCGGAAGTGCTTCATGGACAAAATCTCACCGTCTTGCCGTCGATTGCATATGTAAGTGTGTTTATAAATGTGCTTGCAGGTAGAGTTTTTTGATGTCTTAAATTGTGTCCTGATAAGACAAGGTGTGAAGAGATCTTTTTTGTAATGCCACTATCCTCTCCTTTTTCCCCCTTTCTATCTAAAAAAGTATTCTTATAAAGGATAAGAGGCCGCGCTCCAATAGCAGCTACGTGCACTCCGCCCATCTTTCGGACGACTAAGAACATAATTTCACTGTATTTCAGTACAATGATAGTAAAGCTTATTCTGATTCTGATTCTTGTTTTTAGTTTTCTACACCGACTTACAACCTAGCTGTTTTTCTTGTTACATTTTCTTTTAAATATTATTTTATTTTCACTAGTAAAAAAAAATCTCAATTTGTATGCATCCTTTAAGATTGTCTACTGATGTCATCACTCTTTGTTAAATTCAGGTCTTTCTTGTAAATGAGTCCCAGAGACTCAATGGGATTAACCTGTATAAATAAAGGTTGAATGAAAAAAATGGAGTTCATATAAAGATTTAAATAAGCACAGTAGTCCCTTCGCAGTTCGACTTTCACTGACTCGCTCTTTCGCGGTTTTTCAAATTGAGATTGAACATGAGGAAAATATATATTCATGATACATGATTGTTAACTTTAATATTACCCACGTGATTGGGACAGTGCGGAATACTGAACAGTAAAAAGTTAACGATAAAACAAAATACTTCGGACAGGCGCCGCCTTTTTGTGGTTTTCTTTCAATAAGCCTACACTATACCCCCGCTCATAAGGAATACATTTCCCAGAAGCCAACAGTGCCTCGCCCAGAATCCCTTCTGCTGAAATACATAAAGGGAAAGTTTTGATCTGATCGGAAAAAGTTTGGTGCTTATTACTGTACAGTGACTTTGCGCCCAGCGGATTAAGAGAGCCACATGGAACCCACCGGGAACAGGACCAGAACCAGACCTCCAGACTCATCGGTGAATCCGACAGCTGCTAACTGGCAAACAAGGACTTTCGAGTGGGTAGATGCCACCGTAGGTCCGGCTACTCTCTGGAGCACACCAGGACTTTTTTAAAATCTCTTTATTGGACCTGTCAATCGGACCACCGGTCCCACTCCGGCCACCTGAAGGTCCCTCCCCCCCCCCCACACCTCCAAAATGCGCTTCGGCACTCAAGGGCTGCACAGAACCTGAGCAGAACCAAGAGTTGCTGCTGTTCTGCCAGCTGGTGAGTAAAATGTAGTAGCTACATATAAGTATGTTGTTAAAATGACGTAGGTTTAAGAGTTTAGAACATTGCAAGAGTGTGGGAAGCACTGCTAAAGCCTTAAAATATATATAAATACTAAAATAAATATAGCATCCCTACTTTGTGGATTTACACTTATTGCGGGCGGGGGGGGGGGGGGGGGTGTCTGGAACGTACCCCCCTTGTAATAAACAAGGGTCTATTGTATTTTTAAAAAACTGATAATACATGTTAAAAAAATCTAATAGTTTTTGGTGTTAACACTTTTTATTTACTTGATATTGTAATAAAGCACTATTAGACACTTTATTACTCTAGGAATGTCTTTTGTTTGTTTGTCTATAATAAACCAAAGAGCGGTGCATCTACCTGACGATGACTCCTGGGCGCAGGTCGAAGTTCTTGTTGACGATCTTGAGCAGGTCTGACTCTGTTTTCAGGGCCGAACCGTATGTGAACAAAGAAACGGACAGAGGCTGGGCCACTCCGATAGCGTAGGACACCTGTAGGACACCCAGACGAGCAGATATCAGCACCGCTGAGTTGTCACCTCTGAGACACTGTCTGCTGAGTGAACCTCCACCCTCACCTGGACCAGAACTCTCCTGCACAGTTTGGCTTTGACCAAAGACTTGGCCACCCAGCGAGCGGCGTACGCAGCCGAGCGGTCCACCTTCGAGAAGTCTTTGCCCGAGAAAGCTCCACCTCCGTGAGCTCCCCAGCCTCCATATGTGTCTACGATAATTTTTCTGCCTGTGACTCCCGCATCCCCCTGATAGGGCAACAAGCAGTTGTTATCTTTTAAATTAATTAATTAATTAATTTAATAAAGCACCACCATGTGTCTGATGTCGACCTGAGGTCCTCCGATGACGAAGCGACCACTTGGCTGGAGGTGGTAGATGGTCTTATCATCCAGATATTTAGCAGGAACCACAGCGTTGATCACCTGATAGAGAGAATTATGTTAAAAAGGTGAATTTATCATTGCCAACACGTCGGAGCTCAGAGAAGGACGTACCTTCTCCTTCAGGATCCTCTGCTGCTCCTCCAGGGTGACGCCGTCGTCATGCTGGACAGAGATGACGATGGTGTGAACTCTTTTGGGAACCACAGCTCCATCCTTCTGGTCATAATGTACCGTCACCTGAGGAAAACAGACTCATCAGTTTGTGACACGTTGGGATTTGTTGGGATTACAGAAACAATCACCATTTGTCTACTTGTTGTTTTGGTTTTTACTTTTATTCATCCAGTCCAGAACTTCAGATGTTGTTCCAGTGATCTCAAAGTTCATGCTCAATCATCCAGGTACAAAATCCAATAATGGTCAGTCAGGTCATCTAGACAGTTTCTCTTTTGTGGAAAGACGTTTCACCCTCTATCCGGAGAGCTTCATCAGTTTGAGGAGTCCCAAGTAAACAGTTTTCCCCACTAAGCAGTACACTCCTTTAGTGGACCAACCAGTTTGCTGGTGAAAATCAACCATCAACCATCTCACCACCAGCAAACTGGTTGGTCCACTAACGGAGTGTACTGCTTAGTGGGGCAAACAGTTTACATGGGACTCCTCAGACTGAATAAGCCCTCTGGATAGAGGGCGAAACGTCTTTCCACAAAAAAAAAAAAAGAAACTGTCCAGATAACCTGACTGACCATTATTGTTCCAGTGATCTTCTATAGAGACTTTATTATATTTTTATATCATAATATACTAAATATGTTTAGTGTGTGACAGTTCTGGACCTCATGTGCAAATGTGAAGTATAAACCAGGTAGCTTTAAGGCTGCTTTTTTTATTTTAGTGAAGAAAATGCTCTGTGTTGTGTTAAAAAAAATAAAATTAAAAT